CCCCAAAACCCCAAAACCCCAAAACCCCAAAACCCCTTTTTATTAAGAAAAGATTGAAACAACCTTATGAATCCATTGTATTGTACAACTTCAGAAGCCGCTCTCTATGTCTTTTCATATCTTTGTTCTACCGGGTTACAAAATAAGCTACCTTAAGTTTGTAAAACATTTCCTTTGCCTTAGAGTCCATTCTGACGCTCTTCTTAACAGTCTCAGGAGTTTCAACAATTTGCTCTAGGGAAGAATTCGAGCTTGAATTAGCCATCGTATTAACATTTTTAGTAGATTTTCTAGGGTTTAGCAGTAGTTATACCGAACAAACTTGTTCTTGTTCCCAACTTTGTTCACAAGATATTGGCTCTTTTGCTTAAGAAAGGGACTCGAGGCTGCTTCATTCTTCTCTTCAGCATATCAGTATCTATATGTCACAACCTATTGTACGGTTTAGAGTCAGACTGATAGCTTGATTGCATACAGAATCTGCCACATGGGATACTTTTGTTACGAGTTCTAAAGCTAATCCTTGGGCATACTTGAGTAACCCTGAAGAGTTGAAGCTTTTATTATTAAGCAGATTTTTATTTCCCTTTGAATTGTCTATCAAACATAATGCAGAATATACCTAGTGAAATTATTTCTGTCCCAAGAGTTGCAGTACTCAGAGTCGCCCAAAAGTCGTGACTGTGGTTTATGTTTTATTTTTGACAGAATTTCCCTGATCCCTGATGCTAAAATGATCTTATCAGCGAAAGTTACTGGTTGAGGCGCTCTTCAGCACCTGTCTTTCAGGTAGTTTATTTGAGCTTGATTCTAAGCTCAAATTCAAGATCATCTTTGACAAACAAGTTTTGGTTGGTTTCAAACTTTTCATTTGAATTTATATCCTCTTTATCTAAAGGGTTTTATTTGGGGATCTCTTACCTTTTTTTCTGAGAGGGATCTATCAAAATATTTCATTTCTTTATTAGCATCTATGGTTAGGCCATCCCAGTACCAGTATTAAGACCATACAGTTGGGCTAAATCTCTAAAGGCAGATCCGAACTTTGGAGGTGCATATTTGTATTGTTCTTGAGAAGTAACTTTTTCATATATTTTCTTAAAATATTTTCTAAAATTCTCCTTTTGAAGCAGATCTTGACCATCTGAATTGGATGCCAAGATCCTAGCTAATGAATTCTGTACAAGGAAAATTAGACTATACAAGTCTTTATTATATTGAGCTTCTTGTTGTTTAGTGATAAAGCCTCAACTTGATACCGACATATTCTATATTTTGCCAAAATAATTTCAAGATTGGTAGAAACTCTTGGGGTTTTGGGGTTTTGGGGTTTTGGGGTTTTGGGG